AAAAAGTGAAAATCTCTTAAAAACAATACATTGTAATTTCAAATAAAAGACAAGAAGCGCCGCAATGCGACGAAAACCAGGTTTTCAACGACCAAGGTTTGATGTGACAGCAATCAATAGGTCAAAGTGCACTGAAGTTATTGAGTAGATACTAAAAATTCTATTGTAAGCAAATTACCTAGACCTTGCTCTCAGATATCTAAGTGGCAATCCAAAGCTGCCACTCAGCAAGTTTGGTGTGAAAAGGTCAAAGCAAACTCAAGTTATAACATGAAAACTAAATACATTAACCTTGATCACAGACACCTGGGTAGCAATCCCAAGCTGCCTCTTGATATAAGCTACCCATTCATCAAGTTTGGTGTCAATTGGTCAAAGCAAACTCAAGTTATTGAGCAGAAACTGAATTTCTATTTTTAGTTCCAGTGACCTTGACCTTGATCACAGACACCTGGGTAGCAATCCCAAGCTGTCTCTTGATCTAAGCTATCCATACACCTAGTTTGGTGTCAATAGGCCAAAGCAAACTCAAGTTATTAAGCGGAAACTGAATTTCTATTTTTAGTAACAGTGACCTTGACCTAGATCACAGACACCTGGGTAGCACTCCCAACCTGCCTCTTGATATAAGCTATCCATACACCAAGTTTGGTGTCAATAGGACAAAGCAATCTCAAGTTATTGAGCTGCAACTGAATTTCTATTTTTAGTAACAGTGACCTTGACCTTGATCACAGACACCTGGGTAGCAATCCCAAGCTGCCTCTTGATATAAGCTATCCATACACCAAGTTTGGTGTGTATAGGCCAAAGCAAACCCAAGTTATTGAGTGGAAACTGAATTTCTATTTTTAGTAACAGTGACCTTGACCTTGATCACAGACACCTGGGTAGCAATCCCAAGCTGCCTCTTGATATAAGCTATCCATACACCAAGTTTGGTGTCAATAGGCCAAAGCAAACTCAAGTTATTGAGCGGAAACTGAATTTCTATTTTTAGTAACAGTGACCTTGACCTTGATCACAGACACCTGGGTAGCAATCCCAAGCTGCCTCTTGATATAAGCTATCCATACACCAAGTTTGGTGTCAATAGGCCAAAGCAAACTCAAGTTATTGAGCGGAAACTGAATTTCTATTTTTAGTAACAGTGACCTTGACCTTGATCACAGACACCTGGGTAGCAATCCCAAGCTGCCTCTTGATATAAGCTACCTACACACCAAGTTTGGTGTCAATAGGCCAAAGCAAACTAAAGTTATTGAGCGGAAACCAAAAGTTGACGCCCGCCCGCCGACTTCGGCATTACAATAACCCGGTTTTCGTTGAAAACCTGGTTAAAAAGCAAACAATATAAACAAATATAAATTTTACATTATTTAAGATATTAAAGTTTGACTATTTGTACTGTACTATATTTTAACTTACAATTGTAATTTTATTTAAGCATGTACCCTATTCAGTACTGGTTTTCTTGCAGATTCCAGACCCTAGCAGTTTTCAGGCCGTTCATCGTTTAAGTCCAGTTCTGTCTGTTTAACCAATAAAGCATCAATGTGACTTCATTAAATGAGAGAAACATTTGTTTTTCCTAGACAGCACAGCAATTAAATTGGTAAAAAGTTTTATATATTTTGAAGATTTGCCTGTTGTTTAAAAGTTACTTTGGAGAACTTGCTGTATTCGAAAAAAAGAAACACCTGGGGAATTCCAGTTTGAATGCTCATTTACAGTAATTATAGCCCCATTCCAGGAAATTCACTACTTTTCAACAATATACTTGCATATGATAGAAAGACAGTTGGAAAATTTTGTTTCTAGAATAAAAATCACCTTCACATTGCTTACGTGTTACAAATAATATTCAAAATGAAAAAAGGAATACTGCTGTGAAATTATAAATAAAAGCTAGAAAAGGTGTTACATGGTCATATTTCAATAAAAAAAATAAAGTATAAGAGCAAAATCGAAAACATGGTAATGCTGGACAGGTACCTATCTATGTTCTGTAATCATCCATAGACAAATTTGTATTTTATAAGTAAACAAGAGCTGTCACAGGAGACAGCGAAGCTCGACTAATAAAATGCTGGACGCAGTAAGGAGGACAAAACTATGAAAGAAAAATCAATTATGTATAATTAAGTATTAAGTTATAGTAAAAATATAACATTTGTTAACATAAATTCCAAGAGCAAGGGGAATAATTCTAGAAATAGTCATGCAAGAGTTATGGACCTTGCGACACAACATTTGTGTAATGATAAGAAATATATATTTGAAGTTTGAAGTAGATATCTTAAAAAATAAAGAAGTTATTTTATTTCTTAAAGAAAATCCTAAGTTCAAAGGGAGATAAATCTGTAAATATTGCTTCAAGAGTTATGAACATTGTCACATAAAATGTAAATGATTATAAGGAATAAGTATTTGAAGTTTGAGGTAGATACCTTTAAAAATAAAAAAGTTAAAATAAACAAGAGCTGTCCGTAAGACAGCGCGCTCGACTTTTTTATTGCTTGCCAATAAAAAAAGTTTTTGCAGTAAAAGGCAATACAAGAATCTCTGTATTTTTAAAGTGAACAATGGCCATGAGCATTAAGATATTTAGTGAAGAATTATTTTACTGAATTGTGTGATACCCTTGAACACTGCAGGTTCAGTGGATAGGAATGAATTTTTTTAGATTTTTTAAGTTTTTTAGTGCTTGCCTATAATACAAAACATTGACAGTTAAGGGCCATAATTCAAATAAAATCTTTGACAGAATTACCTTCTCCTGGACATGTTTGGGAATCATGATTGTAAACAAGTATTCCAACTTTCAAATTAATATCTCAAACAGTTCAGTCAAAAAGTGGACTGGTACTAAAAACTTAACCAAGATTCTAAGTCGATAAAAGGCCTTAATTTTTAAAACAAATCCTTGACAGAGTTACCTTCTCTTGCGTACAGATGGGGGTAATGATGTGAAATAGCATTAAAAGTTTCAAAGCAATATCTCAAAGGGTTAAGGCAATAAGTGGATTTTACCCATATTCAATGTACAGTTGACTCTCAATAAGTCAAAATCGCTTTACTCAAAATTCCGCGTAAGTCGAAGAATTTCGAAAGTCCCGTCAAATTTCCTTCTCTATCTTTGTATTTCAATTCCGCTTAGGTCAAATTTTGACTTACCTAGACTCCTGTTTAGTCGAAAAGAAAATTTGGTCCCTTCAATTAAAGTCCAACATGTTTTCATCTCAATTAGTCGAAGTGTGAAAACACCAGACTGATCAAAGGTCGGCGACATCAAGGTGAAATGTTGTCACTCGTGATTCACACGTTTCATAGTAATTTTAATCGCCGGTCATCATGTATTATAAACACGTAGTAAAAGTGGTTTTAAATGGTTTCAGGACTTAATTGGTTTTAACAGTTAGATAACTAAATTGAGATTTTATTAATTTAATTGTAATAAATGCTTGTGATATTTTGTTTCAATTTCTAGACGAATGTCAACGTAATGGCGGCAGATCCACGTTACTCGAATTCCGTTTCTCTCGAAGTAAAATGCCCAGTCCCTTCGATTTCGAGTTACCGAGAGTCAACTGTATTTTCTAAGTCAAAAAGGGGCATAATTCTGTCAAAAACCTTGACAGAGTTATGTCCTCTTGTCTGTTGATGAAGGTCGTGATGGTAAACAAGTATGGTCAGTTTCAAAGCAATACCTCCAATGGTTTTGAAATAAAGTGAGGTGGTACAAAAAACTTAACCAAGCTCAATACACTTTCTAAGTCAAAAAAGGGCCATAATTCTGTCAAAAACCTTGACAGAGTTATGTACTCTTGTCTGTAGATGGAGGTTATGATGGTGAACAAGTATGGTAAGTTTCAAAGCCATACTTGTAATACTTCTGAAATAAAGTGGGGTGGTACAAAAAACTTAACCAAGGTGTGACGCCAACGCCGACGCCGACGCCGACGCCGGGGCGAGTAGGATAGCTCCCCTTTTCATAGAAAAGTCGAGCTAAAAATAACATTTTTCTAGTAAATAAATCTAAGTTTATGGGGAGATAATTCTTGCGATATTGGTGCTAGAGTTATGAACCTTGTCACATAAGATGTGGATGATGATAACGTAAATATATTTGAAATATGAAGTTGATCCCTTTAGAAATAAATAAGTTACAGTAAAAAATAATATTTTGTATGGAAAATTCAAAGTTCAAAGGGAGATAAATCTAAAAATATTGGTGCTAGAGTTATGAACATTGTCACATAAGATGGGGATGATGATAATGTAAATATATTTGAAGTATGAGGTTGATCCCTTAAGAAATAAAGAAGAAACAGTAAGAAATAGTATTTTTTGAGGAAAATTCTAAGTTCAAGGGGAGATAAATCTGAAAATATTGGTGCTAGAGTTATGACCCTTGTCACATAAGATGGGGATGATGATAAGGTACATATATTTGAAGTATGAGGTTGATCCCTTTAGAAATAAAGAAGTATCAGTAAAAAATAGTATCTTTTAAGAAAAATTCTAAGTTCAAGGGGAGATAAATCTGAAAATATTGGTGCTAGAGTTATGAACCTTGTCACATAAGATGTGGTTGATGATAAGGAACATATATTTGAAGTTTTAAGTTGATACCTTAAGAAATGACAAAGTTATAGTGAAAAATATTTTACTGCACCAAAACTTTAATCTAAAATCTGGACGCGGACGCGGACGCGGACGCCGACGCCGGGGCGAGTAGGACAGCTCTCCATATACTTCGTATAGTCGAGCTAAAAAGTGCAATTTGGGGCCGTAAACTGCTAGGAAACCAGAACATGTATATAATAATTTACATAACAAAGTTATTAACCATACAATTATCAGTACAGACAAATATAGGATTTTTGTAATACTGTAACATATATACATGGTCTCATGGTTGAGGAAAACATAGGTCAATATTAAATAAATAATAATTTGCGTAACTATCCAGTCACTCACAATAATCCATTATATAACTTAACTTTAATTACTAGTATAGGGTTTTAAATAAGGTCTTATAAAGGTATTATAATCATCATGAGGAGATCCGTTGTTCGGCTAATCATGTCAGTTCCGGCTAACCTTAAATCACAGAATATATTTCCATTACGTTATACCACTATCTAACAAATGCCCTGCTTTCCACTGATTTAAGTAGGTTAAGATAGGAATTATCATAACTGTTATATCATCAAAAGAAGCTGTGTCTCCATTCCTCTTCTTCCATCCTTGACCTGTAAAGTGTCCCCTCGCCTCTGACACAAGTTCCTGAGCCGCTATGGTATATCTAAGGAGATGAGAAATGATAATTACATGTAGTTTACTTTCTTCAGCCAGTAATGAATAACGATGGACATTATGGCAGACTGATCAGTAAGATTACTGAATTTTAGTAAATGTAAACTTACAACAATAAAGCTTGCTTTTTTTTGATTGTCTGATTACAAAATATGTAAGTGGTTAAACATATGAAATTTCAACCCTCAGTCACAGGTTCTTTGAAAAATAAATACAAGTACTTCATATGCATGGAGTTTATGCCGTTTGCAGAAGCTTTCTTTACATCGCAAAGGTTTTTTTTATATTATAAGCTTTACAAGACTATGAAATTGAAGTGAACAAATAAAGCACCTACTATCCTTGTTATATTTTTCCATTTCTTAAACACTTTATAATTATATCTTTTTATAAGTTTATATTTTAAAAAAAACCTATTTTTTCATCTGAAAGTATAAACAAATAAATAGATTCAGTTACTTTTTAAGATCAGTTTTGTTACAAGATGAGAATTCTTTATGGACTATATCTGAGGCTTCTTGGTTTGTAATGACATCCCATAATCCATCTGTGCCAAGTATCAAAACATCATCCTCTGTCCACTGATGTTCTGTAAGATCTATCACACGTACCTGAATAATAAATCTTAAATATGCAATGTTATGGTCAGAAAGGAGATTAACTGTTGCAAAACGAAAATAAAGGTTTCCTGCCCTTTTGAAATGGGAAAATATTGATAGTTTTTGAGAAATGGACTTCAACAAAAACATGACAAACACTGATAATTCTAAAAGTGGCAAGACAGTGTAAAGTTTAATTTAAGAGTTATCTGCCCATTTAGTTCCCAATATTTACAGTGTACAAGTATTACACGTTAACATCTTCAACATCCTTCGCAACACTGATGATTATGCCATGTTTAAAGTTACCTGATGTTGTAATACTCTATTAACCTTTTCCCTTATATAAGCGTGTTTCGACGGCTTTTTGACCCCCCCCCCTTTTTGAGGCCTCAAACAGTGAAAAAATGCCCTATTTAGGCCCCAAACACTGTTTTTCGTTTGAGAAATGTTGTTAATAAAATTGACCATTTTTTATCGGCGCCGTCCCCCATCCAAATATTACGTTTGGGGGGTTTGAAGGGGGGCAGAGTCCCCCTCATCGCCAAGAAAATTTTGGACTTGTGAGAGGCTTTAAATGACCCCAGGTCGATCATAAGATAACGTGTAACCAACGCTGAAAAGCCTTTGACTCTATCTCAATCCCTTGAGAAGTTGCAGCACTTTGAAATAAATTTTGATGGAAAAAATCGAGGCAAAAAAGTGATTTTTGGCAATTTTGAGATGTCCCCTCGTTGCCATGGTAACAGGAAATTTAAGACTGAGCATGTCGTTACAAAGGCAATGGTCCGGTCAACATTTGTGCCAAGTTTGATTAGTATTGAAGCATTTTTCATAATTTCATAGCAGTTTGAACTTGTGAGAGGAGGCTTTTCAGTGAAAATGGCCATTTTTCACAATATGCTCATGGGGGAAAGGGTTAAGTACCAAATATCTACACATTAAATATGATGCTAAATCAATCTTCTTTAAACATTACATTGATTATGGCTTGAAAAATTAATGTAAATCACAAAGTAAATATCAACAATTAATCCCCTCATGTTATAATTTTGTTATCTCATTTTAACAGAGGTAATTTAATATAAATACAACAAACCTCTGGTTTACAGGAGAGAAAAGGTTTAATCCAAATGTCAGAGTCAAACACATACAAATCGTGGTCACCTAGTCCACGTGTCACTCCTATAGTGGCCATTATACGTGCCTGAAAAATATGAACAGGTAACTTTAATGTGACACTTTAAAACAAAAGACTAAGTTCAGACTATATTGAAGCAATTCTCAAGACAAAATAGTGCTCCAGTTCCACAACAAAACTACTCTTTTTATGAATATTAAACAAGAGGGCCATGATGGCCCTGAGGTCGCTCACCTGTATATTGGCCCCTGGAGCAGGGCCAATTTTTACCCAAGGGCTTTTATTTGAACAAACTTGGTAGACAACCATAAGAAGATGTTTCATGCTAAACATCTAAGCTCTAAGCTCATTGGGTTTTTTAAAAGAAGATTTTTTAAGTTTTTACTATACACATATAGTTAAAAACAATGACACCCCTGGGGCATGGCCAGTTTTGACCCCAGGGATTTTATTTGAACAAACTTTGTAGACACTTACCAGAAGATGTTTCATGCTTAATATCTAAACTCTAGCTATTTGGGTTTTTTCAAAGAAGATTTTTAAGTTTTTGCTATACACATATAAGGAAAATCAATGACCCCCTGGGGCGGGGCCAATTTTGACCCCAGGGCTTTTATTTGAACAATCTTGGTAGACACTCATTAGAACATGTTTCATGCTAAATATCTTAGCTCTAGCTATTTGAGTTCTTTAAAAGAAGATTTTTTAAGTTTTTACTATATGCATATAGGGAAAATCAATGACCCCCTGGGGCGGGGCCAATTTTGACCCCAGGGCTTTTATTTGAACAAACTTGGTAGACACTCATTAGAACATGTTTCATGCTAAATATCTTAGCTTTAGCTCTTTGGGTTCTTTAAAAGAAGACTTTTTAAGTTTTTACTATATGCATATAGGGAAAATCAATGACCCCCTTGGGCCGGGCCAATTTTGACCCCAGGGCTTTTATTTGAACAAACTTGGTAGACACTCATTAGAAGATGTTTCATGTTAAATATCTTAGCTTTACCTCTTTGGGTTCTTTAAAAGAAGATTTTTTAAGTTTTTACTATATGCATATAGGGAAAATCAATGACCCCGTGGGGCGGGGCCAATTTTGACCCCAGGGCTTTTATTTGAACAAACTTGGTAGACACTCACTAGAAGATGTTTCATGTCAAATATCTAAGCTCTAGCTCTTTCGGTTTTTTAAAAGAAGATATTTAAAGTTTTTTCTTTCGGTTGCCATGGCAACCAGAGTTCTGCATGGAATTAAATTCTTTGAACAATTTTTAAAGGTGACCACCAAAGGAACATTCCTGTGAAGTTTGGATGAAATTGGCTCAGTGGTTAATGAGGAGATGTCATTTAAAGTAAAAGTTTACGGACGGACGGACGCCGGACGAAAAGCGATCACAAAAGCTCACCCTGTCACTTTGTGACAGGTGAGCTAAAAATGAAAATAGAAAAATTTTATTACATAGTCTCTTAAAAAAATACATGCATTAGTTTAACGATACAACAAAATTTTGAAGATATAACAATTTGTAATACCCTTAACCTGCTGAATTTATGTAATGGATTTGCCCAGATTTAAATTTGAAATATTCCATGTAAAAAAAATAAGATATCAACATTCAAGTATAAACAAGAGCACTGCATGTGATGTTAACACTCGTTTGTAAAGGGCAACGACTCTCAATAACAATTTTTATAAATGTTTAAAAGGGGAATATTTCCTAAAAGAATTCTTTTCAGAATAATGTCCATGATAATCATATACCTTTAAAATTGTTCAAGTAATGGACAACATTAAAGTTTATGAACCACGATAATGACACAACACAGTGACCATAATAGCTGGACTATTTCCCCAAAACAGACAAGCTAAAAATGAGCTACAAACATTATAGAGCATGGTTAGACTGCATAGATGAAACTCTCTGCTGTTAATATTGATATCATCATTTTATCAATGATGCAACCATAAAGTGAACTGTTGTCATGATATATAAACAACATTTTTCTTGTATTACATAGGATATTATCATTTCCTTTCACTTACTAGGTATGTTTCACTCACCTTTTTACCATCTCCTGTTACAAGGGGAAATTTCAGATCATCTTCTACAATGGTTTTGTAACACCTTAAATAGATCAAATTTATACAGTAGCTGTTTGTTGAGTACTATCATAGTAAACACATCTTATCATTTGACACAACATAGTACAGTACCAAGGCTTTAGTAAATATATACCCTGAATTGTGAAAGCTACAAAACAGAACATTGAGTTTAGTGAGAGAAGTTGACTACAACCTCCCATTAAGATAATGGATTGAACTTACATATAACAATATTATGATGATAAAAACAACTTTTATTATTCAACCAAACATTCTGACTCAGAGCTGTCACTAAAGATAATGGCTTGAACTTCAATATAGGATGATTTTTTTCTTCAGAGCTTTGACTTAAGATATTGCCTTGAAATTACATATGGAAGGATCAAAACAACTTCTGTCTAGGTATGAAGTAGTAGGTTTAGATGTTTTGACCTCAGGATCTCCCATAGGAGGGTAACAGTATCTACTTGTATCATAGAGCATAGTTCTAAATTTAGTGATATCACCTGGGATATCACATTGTAAACATAATGATTTGATTCTACAAGTTACAATATGCTGACATAGGACTGGTTTAGTCTAAAAACTAGCCCCTTAATGATAAGTTTACCGTATTTGTCATGAACCCTTTTATAATGGTTTTAATATGAAAATCTCATGTATCAAATGTCACAGGGTCATTTGTCATTATATATACATGTATATACTTTACCATTATTATATCCTATATGATATATAGTGCATTTCTTATAAATATATTTTTCCTTATCCATCCACTCTTCATCTCATATTTACTCCCATAGCCTCATTATATCATTCATCATATATCATACACTAACTATAGTAACTGGTGACGGGCCTCATTTTTCCGCTCATGATTTACCGCCACGCATGCGCACGGCAGATTTGAATTACAGTTGTATACGTGAGAACGAAACTTCTGACTTTCTTGTTTATTTATTTATTTTGCTGTCTCTGTGTGTTTTACAGGTAATTTACTTATATATGTGTATTGATATATATTCATTCTTCATTTTCTCATTCATCGTTTGTTTCATGATTTTGACGGTTTTGTATATTTATGAAATGCACTGAAGATTTGAATTACAGTTGTATACGTGAGAACGAAACTTCTGACTTTCTTGTTTATTTATTTATTTTGCTGTCTCTGTGTGTTTTACAGTCTCAATCACAAGAGAGAACTTTAAAAAAAACCTTCGACGAATATAGAAGGTAACACAAACATATATGCTCTCCCCCACACCTAAAATGGTATGTTCATTAAAAGAGGAAGAGAACCTCCATACACAAAATGACAAAATAGTACATTTAAAATTTTATTTTGTTTTATCCTAAAATTGCCACTTCCACTGTTTGTGACCTAAAAGAAAAATCAATCCATTTAAAATTATTTTAAATAAACTTTACACCAGATGAATAATAAGTAATATGTTATCTACATACCATCCATCCCTGCCTGGTTTGCGACACAACATTGCCTGACCTACGTCACCTTTATTGACACGTCGTGGAAATTCTAAACATGTAAATTCATCATGGAGTAATTCTGGGTGTAAATGACCCTAGAAATAAATTAAAGGTCAATTTTCACACATTTCATAACAGTAAAATGTAACATTTTTTTATTTCCAATCTTTGTTTTTAACAAAAAAAAAACCACCTAAATTTCACTTTAATTACATGCACAAACTTTCTTATTCTTAAGTTGGCTTAAAAGTCATAGTGGAAACCAATAAATGTATGCTAAGATATTCAAACATCACTGAAAATATAACTATGCTAACTAACACTTCCTATGAGTTGTGTTTTCCCCCAAATTCCCCTAAATGGTTCACATATAGTTGGGTTTCACCCTAACAGTTCACATATAGTTGTGTTTTCCCCCAAATGGTTCACATATAGTTGTATTTTTCCCCCAACAGTTCACATATAGTTGGTGTTTTCCCAACATTTCACATACAGTTGTATGCTTTCCGAAAACAGTTCACATTTAGTTATGTTAATCCCAACAGTTTACATATAGTTGAGTTCACCCACCACCAAATATATTTGTATGTTCTCCCATTGGTAAACAAGAGGGCCATGATGGCCCTGAGGTCGCTCACCTGAATTATAGGCCCCGGAGCACGGCCAGTTTAAACCCCAGGGATTTTATTTGAACAAACTTGGAAGACACCCATTAGAAGATGTTTCATGATGTTAAGTTTTTACTACACACATATAATGAAAAATAATGACCTTCCCCCCCCCCCCTTCCCCCTGCCCCCCCCCCCCCCGGCAGGACCAATTTTAATCCAAGGGCTTTTATTTGAACAAACTTGGTAGACACCCATAAGAAGATATTTCATGCTAAACATCTAAGCTCTAGCTAATTTGGGTTTTTTAAAAGAAGATTTTTTAAGTTTTTACTATACACATAATTATAGTTAAAAAGAATGACACCCCTTGGTAGGGGCCAGTTTTGACCCCAGGGCTTTTATTTGAACAAACTTTGTAGACACTCATTAGAAGATAATTCATGCTTTATATCTAAACTCTAGCTATTTTGGTTTTTTCAAGGAAGATTTTTTTAAGTTTTTGCTATACATATATAAGGAAAATCAATGACCCCCGGGGCGGGGCAAATTTTGACCCCAGGGCTTTTATTTGAACAAACTTGGTAGACACCTATTAGAACATGCTTCATGCTAAATATCTTAGCTCTAGCTCTTTGGTTTCTTTAATAGAAGATTGTTTAAGTTTTTACTATATGCGTATAGGGAAAATCAATGACCCCCGGGGTGGGGCCAATTTTGACCCCAGGGCTTTTATTTGAACAAACTTGGTAGACACCTATAAGAACATGTTTCATGCTAAATATCTTAGCTCTAGCTCTTTGAGTTCTTAAATAGAAGATTGTTTAAGTTTTTACTATATGCATATAGGGAAAATCAATGACCCCCGGGGCGGGGCAAATTTTGACCCCAGGGCTTTTATTTGAACAAACTTGGTAAACACTTATTTGAACATGTTTCATGCTAAATATCTTAGCTCTAGCTCTTTGGGTTTTTTAAAAGAAGATTTTTTAAGTTTTTACTATATGCATATAGGGAAAATCAATGACCCCCAGGGGCGGGGCCAATTTTGACCCCAGGGCTTTTATTTGAACAAACTTGATAGACACTCAATAGAACATGTTTCATGCCAAATATCTAAGCTCTAGCTCTTTGGGTATTTTAAAAGAAGATTTTTTAAGTTTTTACTATATGCATATAGGGAAAATCAATGACCCCCTTGGGTGGGGGCTTTTATTTGAACAAACTTGATAGACACTCAATAGAAGATGTTTCATGCCAATATCTAAGCTCTAGCTCTTTGGGTTTTTTAAAAGAAGATATTTAAAGTTTTTTCTTTCGGTTGCCATGGCAACCAGAGTTCTGTATGGAATTAAATTCTTTGAACAATTTTCAAAGGTGACCACCAAAGGAACATTCCTGTGAAGTTTGGTTGATATTGGCTTAGTGGTTTATGAGGAGATGTCATTTAAAGTAAAAGTTTACGGACGACGGACGACAGACGGACGGATGCCGGGCGAAAACTGATCACAAAAGCTCACCCTGTCACCCATAGATATCAGACAAATACATGTATCATATAATAACTTACAATGTAGTTAATCCTCTTTCTATCCGTGACTGGGTTAAAATCTTTGGTCATTGCTTGTACCTTATCCCCATGACATAAAACTGCCCTGAAATAGAGAACAAAATGTTAAATTTATCTAATGTTAAACCCTTACCATGCTTAAAATCTTATAAAACATAGGTCCTGATTTGAACTAGGAACAGGGGGCGGGGGGGGGGATCAACAGGTAGCTTATACCTATCATTTAATATACATGTAGTAGCAATTGTTCAAAACTGTTAAGAAATCATCTCTCTTTCATAATATTAAAATATTTATGAAACTGTGTATCATTCAATTTTAGATGACAATGAGATGCAATATATATATGAATTCGAGGAAACACAGTCAGTACCCCATGTATTACAATAAAATAATGTCATAAACATATAAAAATTCCACAAATAAATTTTAAAATGGAACAGATATGTAAATGTATATTTATCGAAAGCTATGAAAACAGAGTGACAATATGAAAGATATGTCACCTTAGCGCAGTAACAGGGTAAGTCCTTCTAAATTTAATAGGAGTAAACCAGTTATTGAACTAATGTGACGCCATCATCATATGATCCCTTGAAAAAAAGGGAAAATATCCATGGTAAATTTTGTACATGCACAAATCTAATAGAGTTATTATTTATATTATACATGAGTCTCTTAAACTGGAACTTGTATCTGACTCAAGTGGATTTTAATAGAAAAGGATCTCACTAGGCACAGAAGTGCTGGATGTGATCTGTTCTAGTAAAATCGGAGTGACCCAAATACAAGACAGAGATCAAGATACTCTTATAATAACTAATTATAACCCTTTTATTATGTACATTGAATTTCAAATGACATACCTGACATAACTAGAACTGCCACTATCTTGGCGTGAATACCCCCGCATACCACTTTGTCAGAATCAACAGTGGCCATTTAGAGCTCAAGGACAACCTCCCTGCCAAATCTGAGGTTACTAAGCCAGTGCATTGCTAAGTTATGTATTCTACAAGCTTCAAATGTGAAAATGTCAAAATCAATACATTGCGGACAGGACATTCTTTAGCAATTGAGAAGAAAAGCTTTTTTTTTGTCAAGGTCCCTGTGACCTTGACCTTTGACCCAGTGACCTCAAAGTCAATAGGGGTCACCTTATAGTCATGATCAACATCCATGCCAAATATGAAGACTGAGGGTCAAAGGAATCTTAAGTTAATGGGTGGACAAACTTTTTGAAGTCAAAGTCCCTATGACCTTGACCTTTGATCCCGTGACCTCAAAATCACAAGGGGTCATCTACTTATCATGATCAACATCCAAAGTTATCACTACTAAGTTAGCAATTGAGAAGAAAAGCTTTTTTTTTGTCAAGGTCCCTGTGACCTTGACCTTTGACCGAGTGACCTCAAAATCAATAGGGGTCACCTTATAGTCATGATCAACATCCATGCTAAATATGAAGACTGTGGGTCAAAGGAATCTTAAGTTATTTGGCGGACATGCTTTTTGAAGTCAAACCCCCTGTGACCTTGACCTTTGACCTGGTGACCTCAAAGTCAATAGGGGTCATCTACTAATCATGACTAACCTCAATGCCAAATATGAAGACTATGGGTCAAAGGAATCTAAAGTTATTGGGCAGACAAGCATTTTGAAGTCAAGGCCCCTGTGACCTTGACCTTTGACCTGACGACCTCAAAATCAATAGGGGTCATCTACTAATCATGACTAACCTCCATGCCAAATATGACGACTGTAGGTCAAAGGAATCTTAAGTTATTGGGCGGACAAGCTTTTTGAAGTCAAGGCCCCTGTGACCTTGACCTTTAACCTGGTGACCTCAATATTGATAGGGGTCATCTACTAATCATGACTAACCTCCATGCCAAATATGAAGACTGTAGGTCAAAGGACTCTTAAGTTATTGGGCGGACAAGCTTTTTGAAGTCAAGGCCCCTGTGACCTTGACCTTTGACCTAGTGACCTCAAAATCAATAGGGGTCATCTATTAATCATGACTAACCTCCATGCCAAATATGACGACTGTAGGTCAAAGGAATCTTAAGTTATTGGGCGGACAAGCTTTTTGAAGTCAAGGCCCCTGTGACCTTGACCTTTGACCTAGTGACCTCAAAATCAATAGGGGTCATCTACTAATCATGACTAACCTCCATGCCAAATATGAAGACTAAGGGTCAAAGATATCTTAAGTTATTGGGCGGACAAGAAAAAACCGACGGACGGCCGGACAGCTGGACGGCCGGACGGACAAGCTGATTCCAGTATACCCCCCTTACAACTTTGTTGTGCGGGGGTATAATTAGTAAGTCCTATGTTAGTATATTGTAACTTGTTGTAGAATCAAATCATTACCTCTACAATGTGATATGCCAGGCTAAATTGAGAACTCTGCTCTATGATACAAGTTTCCTTCCTATGGGATATGCTGAAGTTAAAACTCCTAACCCTTCTTATGTCCAGAGTTCTGTCGAGTCAAATTTGTGCATGTAATACATGCATTGAATATAGCAAAATACAGGTATATAATAATGTAGAATATAAGAGACCTACCTACTGTCACCAGCATTGGCTATATACATCTTGCCCTCTAACAGTAAAACAACAAGAGAAGTACATCCTCCCTTCACATTATATCTACAACGTTCCTGCTCCAAATAATCATCCTACAATATTAGATACATGTAATAAATGCAGACAATGTATTAGATACATGCAATAAATGCAGATAATATATTAGGTACATGTAATAAATGTAATGTATAAGATACATGTAATACATGCAGACAATGTATTAGAAACATGTTATAAAATGTAATGTATAAGATAAGAGGGGTTATAAAACAATTTGTGGACTTTTTTTGTTGCTTAAATATATATTTGAGATACTGCTTAGAAGAATAAATAACAAATAACCACAGAAAAATTTGTGTTAGTAGCCTCTTATATTACAACAATATTTATTTTTACATAAACACATGTCGGTAAAAGCGGCCCACTCCAAAAAGTTATTGACGTCAACGTCATCATAACATATACAACTTGCGCTTCAACGTAACATTTGTGTACACAGTCAATAACCGTTACTTCATCTCAAAGTAGTCTATCACTAAATTTCTGTGTTCACCTGCTGATTTTTTTCAAATGTTTTTGTAGGTGTCCTTCCCAAATTACAACAAAATTTTATGATAGCGCAATTTTCTAATTTCTGCTTGTCAGTCACTTTCCGGTTGTAAACAATATAGGTGTCTGGTGTTTCTAGCAATTTCAACACAAATTAACGGAAATGGCGTCCATAATTTTAAAGAATTACTTTAATGATATCATAGAAGAAACATGCTATGTTTAGTGGGTTTTCTACGTTAATTATTAGTTTTTAAGCAAAAAATATAAGATGACTAACTGCGCTTTTCTACTGTGCGCTGGGTGCCGTATATGTGCTTATTTAAAAGCAATATAAAATCATTATTTATTGGCGCAATTAACTGTTCCTTTCAAAATGTGTTGATAATATTCTACAAGGTTTGCTGATAAAATGTCATTACAATACACATCGACGTTCAAGAGATTTTTAAAAAGTCCACGAATTTTTGGATAACCTCTTGTACATGTAACAAATGCAGACAATGTATTAGATACATGTAATAAATGCAGACAATGTATTAGATACATGTTATAAATGCAGACAATGTATTAGATACATGTAATAAATGCAGACCATGTATTAGATAATATTTTTTTATTAGGTTTTACATTACACTAACACAGTATAGGTCATATGGCAACTTTTCACTTTACTGGTAAACTAAGATCTCAGTTGCCTCCCAAACATTATTTCAAGCACAAACTGGCACCTAAGTAACACCACCGACGTTCTGTAAGCTAACTTAAAAAATCATAAGTTGTTCGGATTCAAACCCACAGTGGTGAGGGTCAAGTGGTTAAACCACTTGGCCACCAGTTAACTGAATTATGAACAAGATAAAATATTTCAAAAAAAAAACCATCACAATTTAACAAAAAAAAATAAAAAATTACCATATCTTTAAATGCTTCTTCCAGGGCCCCTGTAACTAGATCATCAATGCTTATATTACTGAAGGCATCAAATGGACATGGTGGAACACCACTTGTTTTCTCTTTTATCAGATCCACACATTCTTTTAACTTGTCCTGTAAAAAATAATAATGCATATAAAGTACTCTACAACATTTTTGTAAAGTTTTATGACTTTCATACTTTATGGCTATGCTAGATAACCAAGTTGAAAATTGCAACAACAAAAAATACTAAATCAATGGCAATTACCCTAAAAATACTGAATAAATCCACAAGCAAACCCCCCAGATTCACAACTACACATGCTGACCAAAATTCTTGTAAATTTTCATGACTCTAGGTCAAACACTTTTTCATCTACAGGTACAAGATGAAAATTGCAAATTTTTACTTAGTTAAGGGCAATAACTCTACAAATACTGAACAAACCAACAAGCTAACCCCCAAGTGCACAATTTCACATGCTGATCAACATTCCTGTAAAGTTTGTTAACTCTAGCTCAAGCACTTTCAGAGCTACATGTGACACAACATGAGAATGCACACAAACACGCACAGACAAGGGCAAATCTAAATGCAGATCTAGGACAGGGAGTTTTACAGGGAGTTTTACAGGGAGTTTTCTTAAATAATTGATTAAAGAGGTTCATAATTAAAATACAATGGTGAAAAAATTTGGGAGTAAACATCCTACTTTTTGAGTTGTCTGCCCTTGAAAGTGAGTTTTAGGATAAAAAAGCAATTTCTGAATAATTTTAACTAGAACTATCACTAAATGTGATTAATACCCCCACAAGACTGCTTCGGAAATGAGGATGTTACTAGTAACAGAATATCTTGTAAAAGAATTGAAATATAGAGTTATGGTTGTTGGCAATTAAAGATAGTTGTGGTTCTTGTATATTGCATTTCCTTTCAATGTGGTTGGCCATTGATGAAGTTTTATTGAATTACTCTGTAATAAGTCCAGAAAGACAAAGAAAAGGAACAAAGGGCAATAACTCTATAAATACTGAAGATGGAATTATAGTTCTTGTGCACTGCACTTCCTCTTTTTGTGCTTGACCATTGTATGAAGTTGTTTTGAATTTCAACCAGTACGTTTTAAGTTATGCTCCAGACAAGGAAAAGTATCAAAGGGCAGTAACTCTGTATTTTGTCAAAATGGAGTTATGGCTCTTATGCACTGCACTTCCTTTTAATGTCCTTGACAACTGTATGAAGTTGTATTGAATTCCAAACAGTAGTTTTCAAGTTATGCTCTGGACAAGGAAAAGTAACAAAGGGCAATAACTCTGTAATTTGTCAAGATGGAGTTATGGTTCTTGTGCACTGCACTTCCTCTCAATGTGCTTGACCATTGTATGAAGTTATATTGAATTCCAACCATTAGTCTTCAAGTTATGCTCCGGACAAAAAAAAGCAATGGAAAAGTAACAAAGGGCAGTAACTCTGTAATTAGTCAAGATGGAGTTATGGTTCTTGTGCACTGCACTTCCTCTCAATGTGCTTGACCATTGTATGAAGTTATAATGAATTCCAACAATTAGTCTTCAAGTTATACTCCGGACAAAAGAAAGCAATGGAAAAGTAACAAAGGGCAATAACTCTGTAATTACTTCAGATAGAGTTATGGTTCTTATGCACTGCACTTCCCCTTACTGTGTTTGACAATTGTATGAAGTTGTTTTGAATTCCAACCAGTAATTTTCAAGTTATGCCCTGGACAAGGAAAAGTAACAAAGGGCAGTAACTCTGTAATTAGTCAAGATGGAGTTATGGTTCTTGTGCACTGCACTTCCTCTCAATGTGCTTGACCATTGTATGTAGTTATATTGAATTCCAACCATTAGTCTTCAAGTTATGGTCCGGACAAAAGAAAGCAATGGAAAAGTAACAAAGGGCAATAACTCTGTAATTACTTTAGATAGAGTTATGGTTCTTGTGCACTGCACTTCCCCTTATTGTGTTTGACAATTGTATGAAGTTGTTTTGAATTCCAACCAGTAGTGTTCAAGTTATGCCCCGGACAAGGAAAAGTAACAAAGGGCAGTAACTCTGTAATTAGTCAAGATAGAGTTATGGTTCTTGTGCACTGCACTTCCTCTCAATGTGCTTGACCATTGTATGTAGTTATATTGAATTCCAACCATTAGTCTTCAAGTTATGGTCCGGACAAAAGAAAGCAATGGAAAAGTAACAAAGGGCAATAACTCTGTAATTACTTTAGATAGAGTTATGGTTCTTGTGCACTGCACTTCCCCTTATTGTGTTTGACAATTGTATGAAGTTGTTTTGAATTCCAACCAGTAGTTTTCAAGTTATGCCCCGGACAAGGAAAAGCAACAAAGGGCAATAACTCTGTAATTAGTCAAGATAGAGTTATGGTTCTTGTGCACTGCACTTCCTCTCAATGTGCTTGACCATTGTATGTAGTTATATTGAATTCCAACCATTAGTCTTCAAGTTATGGTCCGGACAAGGAAAATGCAATGGACGTCTGGACCGACCGACCGACCGCCCGCCCGACCGACCGACCGGGTGACTCCTATATACCCCCCCAAACTTCGTTTTTGGGGGTATAATAAATCTGGTTAGTTAGTTCTTCGGGAATTCTATTTATTTCTACACTTGACATAACTTTACATAACAGGAAACAATCATAAATTTTTCACAACAATAAGCAGGAATCTATAAGCCCGCTGCTATTAAGTGTGTTACAGTTTTTAAAATTGATTAATCCAAACCTGAAATTTATAACTTGATTATGTTTAATCAGTTACATAGTGCCGGAAATTACCAATACAGTCAGAGCTTGTGCTACACACTATAAATAACTCAGTAACTGTTGTGATTATGATCTAATGAATTATTTTAGATTTTAAGGTAAATAAAAGGTCAGCTTGTTCCTTTTATTAGGGAATAAATGAACTTTTAAGGAAGTAATGCTATGACTATATTTCATAGTACATGAATTGATAAAAATACATGTCTTTCAAAAATTGAACAGAAAACAAATCTGCAACTCCAATTGCATATATCATTAAATGTATTAACATATTAAGGACAAGTTTTCATATCTTTTTCACTCAAAGAAAAGTAGTATAATATCAAGCAGAAACAAGAGCCACCGCCGGGCAGGTGCAATGCTCGCTGTTTTTTTCCTTTTTCTAAAAACAAACAAATAAATGGTTTAAACAAATCTTTTAAAAGAGAATTAAAGAAACAAATAATTTTTTTTTTTGCTTTTTTTTATTTTAACAGGTCTGTCTAGTCACACTTGTTTTGTCCAAGAATGAATCATTTCCATAAATAAATGACAAAGTTAAGAAAATATTTATCATCTGACCTTGACAGTCAAGGTCATTTAAAGGGCAAGCTCATATCTAAATCATTCAACATGTCTTTGGTCACAAGTGTTGTTTTGTCTATGTTCATAAATAACAAATTGAAATTTTACCAAAATTCTAGGTCATTTCAACTTTTCAGAAGGTCTTCTTCAAAAGGTTGTTTTGTCCAAGTATGAAGATAATCCATTCATTATGACAATTTAACCAAAAGTTTAATAACTTGACCTTTAGAGGTCAAGGTAATTCATGAGTGAAGGTCAAGGTCTGTCTGGTCAGCTTAAAGGTCTAAAGCATTATTGTGTCCAAGTCTGAAAACAAATCATTCAAAAATAACAAAGTAATTACCATAAATAGGACAAAAAAGCAAAATACAAACAAAATTTAGATATTTGACTTTAGAAGGTCAAGGTCAATTATATATGAAGGTCAAGTTAAGTCTAGTCTACTCGAAGAAATTGTCCAAAGGGTTGTTGTGGCCAAAAATAAAGACAAAACACCAAACAAAAGGGCCATGATGGCCCTGAAATCGCTCACTTGTATATAGGCCCTTTCGGCGGGGCTAATTTTAACCCAGGGGCTTTTTTTTAACTAACTTGGTAGACACACATCAGAAGATGTTTCATGCTTAATATTTAAGCTCTAGCTCTATGGGTTATTTAAAAGAAGATTTTTTAAGACTTAACTATATACATATAAGGAAAATCAACGACCCCAGGGGCAGGGCAAATTTCAACCCCAGGACTTTTATTTGAACAAACTTGGTAGACACTCCTCAGACAATGTTTCATGCCAAATAGTTAAGCTCTAGCTCTTTCCGTTTTTTTAAAAGAAATTTTTTAAAGTTTTTACTATATACATATAAGAAAAAGCAATGACCCCCTGGGGAGGGGCCAATTTTGACCCAAGGGATTTTATTTGAACAAAGTTGATAGACACTCACTAGAAGATATTTCATGCCAAATATCTAATCTCTACCTCTTTGGTTTTTTTAAAAGAAGATATTTTAAGTTTTTTCTTTCGGTTGCCATGGCAACCAGAGTTCTGCATGGAATTAAATTCTTTGAAAATATTTTAAAGGTGACCATCAAAGGACCATTCCTGTGAAGTTTGGATGAAATTGGCTTAGCAGTTTATGAGGAGATGTCGTTTAAAGTAAAAGTTTACAGACGACGGACGGACAAGGGTACAAAAGCTCACCATGTCACTCACTTTGTGACAGGTGAGCTAAAAATAAAAAAGTTATGATCAATATTAAAGTTTGCAGATGGCAATAGGGAATGCCAACATGACTGTTACAATACATGAACCTCTATTTTATTTTTCTTCGAAAAATAGTTGAGCTGTGTCCCACACATACAAGTTCTAATGTATTTCAGTATTTTATCAATTTCTTTTAAGGATAATAATTACTGTAGGCTAGCATTTTACCTCTTATATTCATATATTAGTGTGAAACAGAAGGTGTGCTGTTTTTATGGTAATTTTAATGCATTTTTGGTTATATCTCGGCAATCCATTCTGCTAGCAGGCTTTCCTTGATAACTATCCAGTAATTACCAATTTATCCTACTTATCCCATATGAGCTGTGCCATGACAAAACCAACATAGTGCATTTGCGACCAGCATGGATCCAGACCAGCCTGCGCATCCCTGCTGACTTATCAGGATCCATGCTGTTCGCTATCACTTTCTATACTTGTTATAGGGTTTGTAAGCAAACAGCATGGATCCTGATCAGACTGGGCGAATGCGCAGGCTGGCG